ATGAAATGAAAAACAGTATATATATATATTTCTTTCAGAACCGTCATTCTCTGATATCTGCATCTTTAAAGAATATTGGATAATATTATTATTATCTCGTAGACGAAAGTTAATAATGTGATGATGATGAGGAAGATGAGGATGATTAGGATGATGGTGATGATGATGGTGATGGTGAAGAGAATGATAATGGTGATGATGATGATGGTGATGATGATGATGGCGATGATGATAATGGTGATGATGAGGATGATTTGAATTATAGGAATAATAATAATGGTGATGATGATTATGATATAAATGATATGATGATAGTGAAGTGATGATGCTAAGTATGAATGGTGATGGTGGTGATTACGAGGATGAGGACGAGGATGATTACGATGATGATGATGATGGTGGTGATGGTGAAGATGATGATGATGGTGATGATGATGATGGTGATGATGATGATAATGGTGATGATGATGATGATGATGGTGACGATGATGATGGCGATGATGATAATGGTGAGGATGAGGATGAGTTGGATGATAGGGATGATAATAATGGTGATGATGATTATGATATAAATGATATGATGATAGTGATTATAAAGTGATGATGCTAAGTATGAATGCATAATAATGACCATCATCATGGTATTAAGACTGTTAATTATAGTATTGATAGTAATGATGATGTTGATTTTCACATATTGATATTGATGGCGATATTAATTTAATAATTACAATAATATGATGATCATGATAACAATTCTAATAATAACAATGATGACAATAACAATATCAATTATTATAACAATATGAATAAGGATAATGATATGGTTATATCTACATAATTAATATGGATAAATTTAATGATTAAATATTAATAACAACTCGAACAAGTATCACTGTCAATCATGATGGAAATGATAATAATAGTGATATTTACTATATAATCTCTCTCTTTCTCTCTCTCTCTCTCTCTCTCTCTCTCTCTCTCTCTCTCTCTCTCTCTCTCTCTCTCTCTCTCTCTTATTCCCTCTCTCTCTCTCTCTCTCTCTCTCTCTCTCTCTCTCTCTCTCTCTCTCTCTCTCTCTCTCTCTCTCTCTCTCTCTCTCTCTCTCTCTCTCCTCTCTCTCTCTCTCTCTCTCTCTCTCTCTCTCTCTCTCTCTCTCTCTCTCTCTCTCTCTCTCTCTCTCTCTCTCTCTCTCTCTCTCTCTCTCTCTCTCTCTCTCTCTCTCTCTCTCTCTCTCTCTCTCTTTCTCTCTCTCTCTCTCTCTCTCTCTCTGTAGTAGTAGCCTAACAACAGCAGCAGTAGTAGTAATGATGACGATAATAATGATAATGATAACAATAATGATAGTAATAATAACACCAATAATGATACTACTACTGATAATAACAATGGTGATGATAATGATGATGATAATGATAATAATAAAAACGATGATAATAATATTGACGATGATAATAATGATAAAAATAATAATAATAATAACAATAATAATAATAAGTATAACGAAAAGGATAATGATAATGATGATGATAATAATGATAATAACAATAATGTCAAGGGCAATAACAACGATTAAAATAATCATAATATATGATATAAAGATAGTAATAATAATGATAAAGATAATAATGATGATGATGACAATAATAATAATAATAATAATAATAATAATAATAATAATAATAATAATAATAATAATAATAATAATAATAATAATAATAATAATAATAATAATGATAATAATAATAATAATAGCAATAATGATAATAATAATAATAATAATAAAAATGATATTACTACTACTACTACTACTACTAATATTAATGATAATAATGATAATAATAATAACAATAATGATGATAACAAACAAGGAAGGAAAGAAAGAAATAACGAAAGAAGGAAACAAACAAGGAAGGGAAGAAAGAAAGAACGAAAGAAGGAAACAAACAAGGAAGGAAAGAAAGAAAGAACGAAAGAAAGAAACAAACAAGGAAGGAAAGAAAGAAAGAACGAAAGAAGGAAACAAACAAGGAAATGAAAGAAAGAAAGGGAGACAGTATCCTAAGATGAAGATGCTCCCAGCCTCTCACTTCATCTCGCTCGACCTCCGGAAGTGAACAGATGATGAGAAAGTGTGAAAAGGACTCGGAGGCACCAGATGGGGAGGGAGGGAGGGGGCGAAGGGGTGAGAGAGAGGGGGGGGAGTAAGAAGGGGAAGAAGTGGAGAAGAGAGAGGGGGAGGGAAGGAGGGGCGAAGGAGAGAGAGAGAGAAGGGGGGGGGGAGAGTAAGAAGGAGAAGAAGTGGAGAAGAGAGAGGGGGAGGGAAGGAGGGGGCGAAGGAGAGAGAGAGAGAGAGAAGGGGGGGGGAGTAAGAAGGGGAAGAAGTGGAGAAGAGAGAGGGGGGGAAGGAGGGGGCGAATGAGAGAGAGAGAGAGGGGAAGAGAGAAAGAAGGGGAAGAAGTGGAGAAGAGAGAGTGGGAGGGAAGGAGAGGGCGAAGGAGAGAGAGGGGGGGGGAGTAAGGAGAAGGGGGAAGAAGTGGAGAAAAGAGAGGGGGGGGGGAGAATAAGGAGAAGGGGAAGAAGTGGAGAAGAGAGAGGGAGGGAAGGAGGAGGGCAGGAGGAGGGAAGGAGGGGAGGGAGGGAGAGAGGGAGGGACGGAAGGACGGAAGAAGGTGGGAGAAAGGGAAGGAGAGACAAAGGGGGGAGGGAGAGAGGAAAGGAGAGAGGAGTGGAGAGCAAGGAGGGAGAGAACGAGAGGAGGAAGGAAAGAAGGATTGAAGGGGAAGGGTGTGAACCAGAGAGGACGGAAGAAATGGTAGGAAAATGGGAAGGAAGGGAGAGATGGAGGAAAGTAGTGGAGAGTTGGAAGGAAGGGAGGGAAGAAAG